GTAAGTGCTCTCTCATAAACAAACTACGTGATGGCAACACTGTTTCTACATTTGCTCAAACATATCTTTAGTATGGCAGCATATATTACTTATGTGCTGATACCCATATGTCTGTGATAGATAATATTGGCTTGAGTTGAGACCTTTGTCCAGTACAGTTATTTCTGTCATTTTCTGTTTCTGTACCATATGAATGCCACTGAAATGTTTTTGTTTTATACCAGTGTGTTGTTCTGTTTTCTGTTTTTTTTGCCTTGAAATGTTTTTCTTTTATATGTTTTTTGACACTCTCCCTCTCTGTCTCTCTGTCTTAACGTGGACCAGTAGGAACCTTCAGAAACAAGCAGAGTATGAGCTCTCCTTTATTGTGCTCATTCAAATCATTGAGCGCCAGTTTCTCGTGCACTGTGGTTCAGTTCATAGACTATCTGTGCAATATTTACACACAGTAATTACTCATAGACCATGAAACATGACATCTCCCTCTTCCATGTGGCCAAACATTTCATCAAAGAATATTGTTAATATCCAAATCTTCTTGGTAAAGCCACACCCTCAATAGGCACATAAACCTAAACTCTGCTCATTCATTCATGTTTTCATTCACGTACAATTCTTCATGTAAATCTTTTATCTCAGTTCAGTAATTGTTCCTCTTGTAAATCTTCCTGTTTCTTCCAACAGAGGGTGGTGTGTCCCAGAGCCAGGAGTCTTGTGGCTTGGACAGTGTGTGTCTCAATGGAGGATACACCCCCAACACATTCACCCTGCACGGTCTGGGAACCACACCTGGGTCCCGAGCTGGCGTGGTGGGCAGCACTGACCTTCTAAGGGAGGGAGGAGTCGGGATGGGAGGGGATGACATCTCCCCAGCCCTCCTCACCCCCCACGGGGCCACGGATCTGGGCAGCGGTGCTGGAATGCGTCGTAACCTTTCTGATGCAGCGGCGCTGGAAAAGATGATCATCTCAGAGCTGGTGCAGAGCAACCTAAGGCCCTCAGTTCCCATGCCTGTTCCTCCTGAGCGCTACGGAAGCCTTGCCAGGCCTCATCACCACGACAGGGCAGCTCTCACTCACACTGCCACTTTAACTCGACACGCACAGCCACCCCAAGAGGGCTGGGCTGCCACCATGCAGCCAAACACACGCCACAATGCACAAGAGGGCTGGACGCATACGAGGCACCACACACAAGATGCTGAGACACATTCCACGCCACGTGGACAAGATCACGCCACAACGCCACGCTTACAAGATGGCTGGTCCCACTCACGTGTTTCTGGAGATTCTGAGTCCCGTGAGCTGCTTAAAGATGGGGACAGGTCGTTGCAAGGCACTTTGGGTCGTCGTGGGCTCCAGGACAGGCAGCAAGCACGTCCTCCTGATGTTCAGGCTCGACCCTACTCCACCCTCAGCCGCACCCCTGGTACTCTTTCCCGCCACCGCAACACAGTGGAGTCAAGCGGAGGGACGGATAGAGACAGGGAGAGAGACCGGGATCGTTACCGGGACAGGCCCCTCCCGCCTCCTCCTCCTCCTCCCCCACAGGAGTCTGAGCCCCTATACAAGGCTCTGGAAGAGCCGTTGTTGATGAAGCAGAGGGAGGCAGGCGCAGAGACGTGGAGAGGCGGCCAGGACAGAGAGAAGGATGAGACATTTCTCTTAAAAAGAGACGGAATGATGGACGAATGGAGAGTAGGAACTGAGAGAGGGAGGGACGAGTCATTTACCTCTCAGAAGAGAGATGGAGAGATAGACGAATGGAGAAGTGGAATGGAGAGAGGGCGGGAGGAATCTCATCTGCTGGAGAAGAGAGGTGGAAGGATGGAGGTGTGGCGGGGAGGAGCAGAGACAGAGCAGGAAGAGACTTTTATAACTCAGAAGAAAGATTTTGGGATTGACGGATGGAGAGGTGGGATGGAGAGAGAGAAAGATGAATCCATGTTTTTAAAGGACAGAGAAGGATGGAGAGCGGGGATTGAACGAGAGAATGAGAAACAGAAGGATAGAGCTCTGGATGTGTGGAGAGGAGGGATGGATATTGACAGGGAGGAACCCTTCCTGTTTGAGAGCAAAGATGGAGGTCTCGACGCAAGGAAAAGAGGATCTCTTCGCTACCATGGCGAACGAGAGGATTCTGACAGCTTTGCTCTGCCTTTGACCCCTGACCTCGACCTTGACCCTGACTCCTCACCTATCTACGCCCGAGATTCAAACCCCTCCCCACTCTACCCCGGAGACCGACGCTCGCCACCACTCAGCATCTTCCCCCGAAGCTCTCCCCCGACCAATATCTTTGCTCCTCGAGACACCAACTCGCCTCCAAACAATCTCTACTCCCGCCACTCTCCCCAGGTGTACAGCCGAAGCAGCTCCCCTCCTCGCTTCTACACCCGCACTTCCCCACCAACCCTCTCGTATCCCGACAGCAGTCCTGAAGGTCCAGAAGAGGTCAGCCCCACTGGCCAGCCCCAGCGGCCCGCCCTGGAACTTCCCTACAGCCTGGGGCGACCCCCGCTGGGCCCTCGGCCCAATCACCTGCAGACCTTCTACCAGCCGCCGCCGCTGGCAACCAATGGAGAGGCAGCGTACACAGCAGAGCCCGCCTCTGAGGGAGACGACGGACAGATGCAGCGGGTGACGAGCCTGTGACTAGGGCGGTGGTGATCGGGGCATAGAATCCAGGCAGGAGGATGAAGATGGTCAAAACAACAAATAGGGATGATCAAACTGATGGAAATGATGACGATGATGATTATGATGACACTGTTAAGAATAGTGATGATGAATGATGAAGGTAATGATGATGACAGTGATGGCTCCTCCCTGCTTCTATCTCCCGATCACCACGAGACTTCCCCCTTTTCATGTTTTGTTACTTTTCTATGACTGTGATCCATTTATAACTCTTCCTGCTTCTCTTCCTCTTCCTCTTCTCTCTTTCCTAAAACCCTGCTGTGTCTTCCCATCTCATCGGTGCTTAACCTTATTTGCCCATCGTCTCAACTTTCTATTGGTTCATCGGCTGGGTGTTTTCCCTCCCTGTAGCAAGCAAACAGTGTGTCAAAGAAGCACTTGTGTGTTGCCAAAAAATCCTTTCAAAGAACATGTGCATGACTTTATAGTGGCTTTACAAGGCTACATACTGTAGGAGGAAAGTGTGTGTGCGTGTGTGTGTGTGTGTGTGTGTGTGTGTGTGTGTGTGTGAGCGAACGTGCAGGTGTGTGTGTAGCTTGATGAGCATGCGTGTGTGTATGGACGTGTGTGTGTGTGTGTGTGTGTGTGTGTGTGTGAGTGCGTGCCTGTATATACATCATTCTTGTATAATTAATGTATCACAGTGAAGCATTTTATCAATATCAACTGGGGGGCCTCTTACACACATCCCCTCTGACTGATTTTGAACTCTTGACCAATCCCATTTTCACATCGAGACCAAAACCTCCGCCCCCCTCCTCCCTTTCTGCCTCCACCTCCCACCTGCCACTAACTGTTGGTGATGGAACTCGTTGCCATGGAGTTTGTCATAGCAACAGAACTCTTGACTCCAGAGCCAGAGATCATATAAAACCTCAGAACTTTTCTGCAACCCCCTGAGATCCTTGTACATATCGACCTCAAGTGTTCTGATTGTCTTGTATTGCTATTGAAGTTCAAGTAAACATGTGAAATAAATGTTCCTGTCTTCTCTTTGTGTCGATGTACAGAGAGAGGGAGGGTTTCAGAGGACAAAGTTGCAGTTGTAGAAAGATGTAAAGAAGTCGACAATTAAAAGGATTTAAAAAAAGACTTTAGTACTCTAGTACTGTACTCGAGGTGCTTGTACTTAAGTACATTATACTTCTACTCCACTATACTTATATACACTGGGTAAATATTGTTATTTTTACTCAACTACAATTTGGAGATTAAGATTGTATACTGAACATATTTGTATACTGTAGTTGTATACTGAACTTATTTTATAAAATACGATTTTATACAGATTTAACAACCCAACACTATATACGGTAGTTAAAATTAAATCCACGTCAACCAGCTACACACACACTGCTTATTACACATTAATGCATCTGTACTAATACTCCAATAATATTATATATAGTTATGTAACTCTGACAGGGGGCATTTGGCGGTGTAATAGTAGTACTTTTACTGTTAATATCTAATTATATGCTGATATCACTTTTACTATCAGTCAAACACAATTTTGAATGTAAGACTAGTTTAAGTCTTTTTACATTGTTGAATCACTACTTTTACTTAAGTAAAGGATCTGGGTGCTTCTTCCACCACTGGTGACACAGGAAAAGGATACTAATACTTTGATGAACTGTAGCTACAAAGAGCTTTAGCAACTTCAACTGACATAATCATATTGTAGGCAATGTAGAAAAAGACAAAATTCAGACAGACAGAAAAGTATGGTCCACGTGTTTATTTCATTATTAAAATTAGGGCTAATAAATAAATAGTTGAACTGCGGTTGTGTGGACTTTTGCGTCAGCGTTTTAGCATCTTTCAGCTAATTGCATTGGTTTTGCAGGCAGCTGTTTTCAGTAAAAATACGTACGTAGTTACACCTGCTCAGCACCAAAGGCAGGTATTTAAAGTTAGTTGTGTTGTGTGTGCCTTTAGCAGCTAAAGAGTCAAATATTTTTCTCATGTGGTGGGTAGAGACCAAAAACAGAGCTAAAAGAGAGTGAATGTTGTACTTAAATGAATCAAGTGGCCAGAAACACAACTACAAATAAAGGCTTGTTTACTTATGTATTATTTTATTATTATGCTTTATATAGATTATAAATAAAATGTTTCTTTGTGAAATTTGAGGATGGTCCTCGTAAACTTTATAAGGTGATAATATGTATAGTGGTGAAAGTTTCTTGCATTGCCAAAAATAATGCAGGTGTTTTTTAAAACTTATGTATTAACATCTAAAAAATGTATTCTCAAAATGTGTATGAATGTCACAAATTGAACTTAAAGAGACAACAATTTTAAAAAGTTTTTTCTTTAATGATCTGTGTGCTCTTGGACTGATACTGTAAGTAGTCTAGCAACATACATTAGTACTAAAAAAAAAGGAAGAGAACTAGTGGTGTCCATGCTTTTCAAACATGGATTATGTAGTGTAGTCATTTTCTTAGTCATTCTCTCATTAATAAACTACATATACAACACACTGGACACAGGACGGACGCATCCTACCAAGCCTCAATGCTACACATTAGGAAAATGAGTTGCTTTCTCGCTATTTGTGCTTTCCTTCAACACCATTACATTCACTGGGTTTATGTAAAAAAAAATTAAATAAAATATATTACATCCTACATACCAAATCCTCACAAAGTGGTAATTAATATTACTAACATGGAAATCAAAAAGTGCTTTTACAGTATCATTTGAGTTGTACAAAAACTGTATATATTTACAGGTGAAGTATATAGTGGTAGTGGTTCTGTTCAGGATTCAGTCGTCTCATCTCACAGTTAAGTTTCACATGTGGAACTAAAGTCAGTCACAAGGACAACGGCTGCTCATGCAACACTCCAGCCAAGCAGCCAGTATAGTTTGCACACTCCCTCTTCCTTTCTCTCAATTCATATGTTTTCTCTTTTGAACCACGTACAGTATCTCACAAGCTCTACACTGTCTCTGTCTCTCCCCCCCCCTCTCTCTCCCTCTCTCTCTCTCTCTTTCTCACACTTGATCCGAAATACTGAGGTATGTGGTTTGACTTCACAGGAAATGGTCTCACATTCTTCAAGTCTCTTGTCCATTCAAACCAGACTACAGGCAGTGGTTGGTGGAAATGAACTTCAGCAGACAGTATGGTGGGGTGACAAGGGGCTATCCAGGGTCTCGGTTGGAGACAGATCTGAACTTGAGCTTTTAAACATGGACGAGATGTGGAGGGCCTGGTAAACACACAAGCACATTCCCAACCATTAGATTTTTGACAGACACTGACATGTGGACACACACTGATGCACAAAAACAAGCAGGCAAGGTATACTGACCACCCAGTAAGCAGTGAGGGCTCCCTGTATGTAGCCTGTTAGCACGTCGGACGGGTGGTGCCTATAATCTGAGATGCGGGTCAGACCTGTGTAGACTGCCAGCAGGACCAGGAAGAACTGTAGTGCTGGCCTCAGCAGACGAGCCCCACGCCATGTCAACCGTGCCTGCAGGTAAAACTATGTGACAAAAACAAACATGATGTAATTTAGTTTAACAATATGGTCATCATCTGTTATTGTTTGCAATTGACTTTATTCATAATGGGTCATTTTAAACTTTTAGGGAAACTAAACGACTACCAACGACTGATGCAATTTAACACTGACCTCAAAGAATAGCTGAAATCTGAAATTAGATTTCACCGTACTATATTACTGAAAGTTATATAAGTTACTTATAAGTTCATCAGTACAGTAATGATGTCATCATAGTACTGTAGTAGTTAGTTTGTAATAACTTGATTTAATATAATGTTATTCAGTAAATTACACCTAGTAAAACAAAAAGTCTGAAATTAAATAATAATGGATTTTAAGTTAGGTCCAAGATGGAACTCCATGATTGGGTAATAATGCTGGTGGTGCCTTAAGGCTGCAGTTTATTTTATGTTTTAGTAGAGCATACAGGATTACCAAACAAGTTAAACATGGTAAATCTGGAGCCTCTGGACCCCCTCTAGGACCCTGTGGCAGTTGCCCATTTTGCCTGTTTTTTTTTCCAGCATTAGCTTTAAGAGTCTTTTTTTTGACTAAAACTAAAACACTAATTCACTGCAGTTGGTTTATACAGGCTTTTATCTGTGAATTTAAATGTGAATAGACATAATTTCCCTCCAGATTCGGATGCAGCACATCAGTTGCACTCAACGGAGCTTCCAAGTTCTCAAGCTATAGTAAAAACAAAGGTAAACAATCTTGTTTTTCATCATCCTTTTTAGTCACACTAAATGTAATGCAGCACTATCGTAACATTAAGAACAGCTGGAGGTAGTAATTGTGAACAAGCAAGCCAAGACTGCACGCAAGATGGCACACACATCAATATGCTGCAAGTACATATGCAGGCACTGGCTACACGTATAAATGCAGGAGCTTGCACACACACACACACACACGCTCACACACAATAGAGGAGAGCAGTGAGGCAGTGAGGCGAGGTCACACTCCTCCCACAGCAGAACAAAGCTGTCTCTGTTTGTCTCATTTCTCCTTTCAGTCCTGTTCTTTCTCCCTCTCCTCTTTCATTCTCTCGCTTTCTGCTGCTAACTGGACTGATGATGGGTCCCCGTTTCATTCATTCCCTCTGCATTTTGTAGAGGTATGGTAATTGGAAATTGGAGAGACAGTAAACTGTGTTTGTCAGTGAATGTGTGTGAAAGAGAAATAGATAGATAGATAGATAGATAGAATACTCACTGCTAAATAGAGCATTGTGTACATCGCAAAGGAAGCGTGGCCAGAGAAGAAGGACTTCCTAAAAAATTGGAGAAGTATTTAGAATAGCGCAAAACAAAATGCACAATACATAACACTTAATGCATAAACACACACACACACCTGGCCTCTTCCTCCAACCGGTGGTCAGGCTGGCGGCAGTTCACTGTTGCAACATAGGTTCCAGGTGTGCAGTTAAGAGACGCATAAGTGACACCGCACACGGACAGGAAGTGTGGTCGCAGTCGCCCAACACTCAACTTGGCCATGTTGGTCAGTGACTGGCCAACACAGCAGCCGAACAGGAAGCAGCCCAGCTCCTTGTACAGACAGGACACGTACAGGTTCCTGACAAAGGCCTTGGAGCTGACGCCTCTGAAACGAACCCGGTAACACTCCCCAAGGGCGATCTGGAGGTGGACACGTATTCAGAACATTAGAATCCTATCATACTCCTCACGAGCTGGGGCATGATGTATAATGAATAATGGACTGACTACTATGTCTGGGATGATCAGAGTGATGAGTACTCACAGTGAGGCCGGTGATGATGATGCCACCTGCGATGAGTAATTCGTCTGATATGGCCTCTTGGGGCAGATAAGGATAGGTTATGCTGGGGTCCCCGCACATGAAACCCCTTTTGTACGGACTCACTGCCTTCAGCTCACACGCAAAGAAAGGGATTGAAGCTGCACAGGAGGAGGAGAAAAGAGATGTTTTGGTATCACAACAATCCCCAGTGGGAGTATAGACATTTGTCTTTGTAATGAGAGATGCGAGATATGGAGGAGGAGAAAAGAGGAGCGAAACCAGTGGATGAAAAGGGGCGATGAGGAGAAATCTGCAACCACTCCAATTGTCAGTCATGTGGCATTCAGTGTCATCCATACTTACATGCAAACAAGGGCTGGGACATTTTCAATACAAGTACCTAAATAAATGTAAAATAAAATGATAATTTTCCAACAGTTTTTACTTTGAGGAAACTAAAGATGTTTTTCTACAATATGTTTTGCAGTTATGTTAGAGGAGTGGCTTTACTTTGTTCCAGCCTGAAATATCCCAACAACTATCACATGCGTTGCCACAAAATCTTGTAGAGACATTCATGGCTCCCAGGGGATGAATCCTACTGACTTTGGTGATGCTCTGAGGTTTCCTCTAGCGCTTTGTGGTTTTTAGTGAAATGTTTCAACAACTATTGGATGTATTGCCACGGAATTTAGTGCGGACATTCACGTCATCCTCACCCCGTATGCTAAAGTGCTAAACTGAGATGGATGGCCTTTACCTGCTAAATATCAGCAAAAGTATGATTTTAATACTACACATTTTTGTCGCTACCCAAAAAGCATTAATGTTGAAACCCAGCACCAGTGCAGATATATGATGGCCTTGACTCTTCATCCCTGTCACACATCAAGAGATACACATTAGGCATATCATTAATCACAGATGAAAGTATTAAGGTCTAAAATTAAGAAAGAAAGACAGAGGTAACAGAAATTCAAGGCTTTAATAGAACTGACAGGAAAACAAGGATGGGAACCCTGAGTTTTTCTCTGGAGAACCCAACTAGTTAGACAATCATTAGGAATGTGAAAGTCTGGAAATAGAAGAGTAAAGCAGGCAGAGCACACAGACCCAGTTTAAACTGCGCATGTGTGTGAGTGTGTGTGTGTGTGTGTGTGTGTGTTTGTGTGTGTGTGTGTGTCTGTGTGTGTGTGTGTGTGTGTGTGTGTGTGTGTGCATTTCTGTTGATGAGGAGAGAAAGGGGGGTTGTTTGTGACTTCAGTTCAACTCTCCCCTACAAAACAAAGAGCAAATGCCGCAGCAAACCAGAGCCAGAACCAGCCTCACACTGTCTCTGTTTGTCTCTGGGTGTCCTTCCCGCTCTCTCTCTTTCTCTATCTCTGTCTTGCATGCCTGCACACACACACACACACAGTAGAGAATGAGAAAGAGACAGACGGAGAAAGAGAGAGAGAGCGACTTCTAGCATGGTTCCCTCCATTATGCACATGTCCAATCTGCTGTTAATACAGACTACCTCTCCGTCCAGCTTTTTCCAATTAGCCAACATTACATAAGCACCCTCCTGTCACATATAGGGAGCATAGGAGGGAGGGTCAACAATTACGGTCATGTGTGCACACACATACACACAGGCAGTGTGCATGTATTTATTTATACCAAATACAATTCCCCCTTGGCCCGGCTCTACCCTGAGAACTGGAGGTTGTCATGGAAACTGTAGAATTCCCTGGGCAATGCACAAACCAGCTGGCACGGAGAGCTCGAGAGTGCGCAGGAGTGGGGAAAAAAAAGAGCCAAGGATACATGTAGATGAAGAGAGACTTGAAAAACTTTCCCCCCGTTTTTTCTTTTGTTCTTTCTTCTTTTTACTTATAAACCTGGTGTTAATTTGCTGCTCATATTCTGCAGGCATGAATGTAGCCATTGACTGTATGTGTTGACCAAATAAAAAAGCCTGAAAACAAAGTGGAACTGAGCTCAACAAGGTTGAAGTTAACCCTCACCTGATATACCCTATAGAAAGAATAATAATTGATATAGAAATTCACTTAAAGCCTTCAAAGCTAAAAATAAATGGATATTGTATGAAAAAAAAACGTGATTACTTTGACTGTCAATTAATTTTCTCAATTATTTGGTCCATAAAATGTGTACAAAATAGTGAAAAATCACACTTTCATTTCATCCATGATGATGGTATCAAATTTGCTTGTTTTGTCCAACCAACACTTCAAGACTAAAGATACATACATTTATTATCACATCAGGAAATAAAGCTTGGAATCGGGTATCGATTTCAGCTCTAGAAATGCATCAGGCAACATCTAGCACTTTAAATTAGTACAAATAGCCCTTCAGCAAATCAGTGCACAGTATTGATTTACTGATTTAAGTATTTGTATTGTCTGCATATGCTCATCAGCTATAGATATACAATAACACACCATGACCATAAAGTTGTATTACACAGAGCCGTGATAAACTTATACATGATGCTGTAATGGCACAGTTTGGATTGGATGGTATTGCACAGATGCATTTGTGGTCCACTTGGTACACCAAGAAAACCACACATTCATTCAACAAGGTAAAAAACAACATTTTTCCTGTAGCATGTATTTAAATATTTACCTAGGAAGAGGCAGAGCAGGTCTAAGCCGACCAGAAGTTTTCTCTTAGATAAAGCCGGTCCAGTTATCTCTAGGAGTTTCTTCCCAGTTCCGTTCTCCATCCCCATACCTGCTGCGGCCAGGCTGCTCTTGTTGTCCGTCAGTTTGAGCTGGAGGTCCGCGCTGGAGACGGGTACACCGGCACTCTGCGGCCCAAATTTATCCAACATGACGATTGGCTGTGAGTGGAGGCTCCGACTAAACAACTTGTTGGCATCAGAAACTTGGGAGCGCCCTATTACTGCTCCTGTGCAGAGCTGCCGGAAGGCTGTATCTTGTGTATGAATCCACAAGTTGCCACAGTATTTAATGTGCCCCCAAAGCTACGTGTTGCTTCGCTGTCAAAGAAAACTCTCATTTTTAAAGCATTTTTAAATTTCATCACATAGTCTGCAGGACTCGCCCTGACTCGCTGCAGGGCATCCGTCACCTTCAAGATATGCACCACGGTAAAGGAGCGGAAAACTCCGGACCGGTTGCGAAACAGACAGCAGGGATAATATCTCTCTCTCTCTCTGTCTGTCTGTCTGTCTCTCTCTCTCTCTCTCTCTCTCTCTCTGTCTGTCTGTCTGTCTGTCTCTCTCTCTCTCTCTCTCTCTCTCTCTCTCTCTGTCTGTCTGTCTGTCTCTCTCTCTCTCTC